GGGGGGGGGGGGAATCTATCCAGTACCCAGATTCTATGGTATTGATACATATTGTGCTATTATCCATAGCAAGATTGTACTTATGCTGCCATCTCCCTCTGCAGAAAATGTCATTGCTATTTTTTTTTTGCATTCCAGTGATCAAGTATGTACTAACATTAGACATCCCAACTGTTTAAAAAAAAGGTTCTAAAATTAATTTTTTTAAATGCAGAAGAGGGAGGAAGAGGAAGAGGAGGAGGGAAGTATTCTTAATGGTTCTACTTATGAAGATGAAGAGGACCAAGCACGGTCTGGAGCTCCCTGGTTCAAGAAGCCGCTAAAAAATATATCAGTTGTTGACAGTGAGCCAGTAAGGTTCACTGTTAAAATTACTGGAGAGCCAAAGCCCGAAGTCACTTGGTGGTTTGAGGGGGAAATGTTACAGGACTCTGAGGACTATCAGTACATTGAAAGAGGAGACACATACTGCCTTTATCTACCAGAAACTTTCCCAGAAGATGAAGGAGAATATATGTGTAAAGCAGTCAACAGCAGAGGCACATCAGCTAGCACCTGTATTCTCACCATTGAAAGTAAGAGTTAATAATTTAAATCTGCCTTGTTTTGCTTGATTTCAGAGTTCCAAAGTACAGCTCCTCTTGCATCTTTCCTGTTACAAATCTATTAATCTGTTTTTCTTAACCCTTTTTCTCTTCTAGCTGATGACTACTAATGTTCTACTTTTGCTGGAAAATTTCCTTCCCCTCGACTTTCTTACTACTGCATCATCTCTCTCTCTCTGTGGTGGGGCCAATTAAGAAAACAAGAAAGTGTTGTTGATTTGTCAGTCCTGTATCAGAGGTGGATAGCCATCAAAATGCACAGGGTTCAGATTCATTTCAATGTGAAATTTGGTACAAAACAATATAAATGAGGTTTTGATATGAAAAGAATAAGTTACAGGAAAAAACTTAATTGCTTGTGTTCCCACGTATGAAGACCAAGTATTCTGCAAGAGTACAACAACAAAATAGACTGATCTGGAAATTTTTGAAGTAGTATACATGTACCAATACATTCTGCATGTACACTAAGCTTTTAACTGCTTTTTGTCTCAAAAGGAATTAGTAGACAAAGAGAATGATCTTGGAAAAGCTATCAATAAGCAATGTACTGTTTTTAAACAATGACAAATTATGCTATGGCTTAACTTCTGTAATTTTTTTGCCGCCAAGTTTGCTTTAATACATATTTACATTCAAAATGATGTGTTGCTTTTAAAGTGTGTAATCACTAATAATGTAAATACATCCATAGGATTGAGAAGTCTATAAAACTACCAAAACTTATACAAAATAACAAAAAAGTACCAATTACTTGTGAAAAATCATGCCAAAATAATGGTGTATCAAAATTAAGTTTGTAGAGCAAGTTTTTGGATACACTCTGGTAAATACTGTGGTTAGTTTTTCATCTTCATCTTTACCGGTTAGAATTTGTTCATTATTGCATCTCAGCTTAAAATGCTTGAAATCCTAAAATAAAAATGGAGTATGATAACAGAACTACATGCATTTAGTTTCCATGCTGTATATTTATATTAGTCTTTGGGGGGTTGGCAAGACAGATGAATTCTTTTTTTGTATAAGGACTCCTAGTGCTGGAAAATTCAGGAGAAAGTGGATACAAGTGCCAGTTTCAAAATAATAATAATAATAATAATAATAATAATATTATTATCTTAAAATGGACTTTTGTTCAGACTACATCTGAATTTTATAGGAAAATGTTCTTAGCAGTAATTACAAGGATTTATTGCAAATCATGTCTTCTGGTTGTTGGATCCATTTTTATTTGTATCAACAGCATCTTCTATAACACTTTTTTGGCTTAACAGTTACAGAGCAGAAGTGTCCCAAAGTCCTGTTTGTTTAGTAGCTGTGTGACAGGATTCTGTGCATTAAAAGATAAATAAAACACATTCTGCCACCAACAGATTTTAGTTTATTTCATGTCAGTGTTCATTGATTTTCTTGTGTTATTTAATACCAGGAAAATGAACCCAACCATATACACTGTTTACTTGATGTAAGTTGATATATGAAAATAGTGAAGAGAGCAAAAAAAGAGACAAGCACCATTTGTACTATTAATCAGTTTACATTTATTGAGAAAGCCATAAACCATACAAAACCATTATACAATTAAATGTGTACCTATATTACATACAATGTCAATGCAAGCTCAAAACCACATTTTGTAAAGCATTCAATTTACCTCAAGTCCAAGCTGCATCTCCCTAAGACACTGTTCCCATCACAGTTGCCTTTTAAAGCCAATCTTCTTTTTACACACGGGTAGTTTCTGTAGAGAACACTTTTCTCAGGACGAAAATGCATTTCACGTGCACGTAAGAGAAATATCTGTGCATATACATATGAGCTGTATAGAGTACTACTAGGGAAACGGGAACCCTGTCAACTGTGCGCTTTCTAGAATAGTCAGTTTCTTCCTAATCAATTTATAGCATGCAAGAGAAACCTAAAGGCTACTTTGTGTGGGACAGGATGGAAGAAAATGTTGGATAGTAGAAACTAAAATACTGTAATAGAAAACCAAAGTATTTCAAGTAATAAAGGCTATGCAGTAAATAATACCACCTTCCTGACACTATAATACACTACATATAATGATTCGAGAAATACCCTTCTAGCTGATATTTTATTTCACATCATTTCCTACAGTATAGTATAGACTGAAGAAAGTGATCTGAAAATACTTTTACTACTTTGAACATTAATGCTTCCCTACTTCCCCTTAAACTGGAAAAAAAACTTCACTTTCTAAGTTCATTCATAGGTTTTAACAAATAAATATTTATTTAAAAGTCCCATTTTGGAAAGTTCTAGTTTTCTAAAATAATTCTCAAAAACTCCCTTATCTGATCATATTCCAATTTATTTTCCATCTTCTGGAAAAAGTCTCAGTTTTGAGACTGAACTAACACCATTCAACAGTTACATGCCTGTAAGTCCAGCAGCTAAGTGAGCTGAAAAAAAAACAAAAAACAAACAAACCACCTCAGACACTAAACTAAGGCAGATTCATCTCATCTTTCATGCTCCAGCAGCTATCCAATAAAATGACTTTGTCTTTCCTCCCACTTTTTAGGTTTACTACAATTTATGATCTTAGTAATCAAAAAATATATTGCAGTGAAATAAAATAGTAGCATGTTTAAAAGGAAGTGAAAGAGAAGACCCACCCAACAATAAATTATTGGATTTAAACTGGTACATACCTAGCTCTTCCCATGAAAAAAATAAAGTCTGAATTACATTATCAAAACTACATGTCAACCAAAATGAAGTGGCTTAAAGAGATTTAAGTACAAATATTAATTTAGTTCAGAAAGTCAATATATCTAAACTTGACTGTTTAGAATAATGTAAATCAAAATAGATGGCTTATATTATTAACCACAGTTTAAAAAACTTAACAGATTATGGAACATTTATGGTAAAGAAAATAGCACTTTAAAAGAATGAAAAGTGATCAAACAGAAAAAAAATATTCCCTACACCATTATGAATGGGATACATTTCAAATCTTGTTATTTTTTTGCCAATGTTACCTTCTACATGGAGCCCTTCTATGGTCCATGCTCATCGGCTCACCAATGGCATACACTCAAAGGATTCCTCTTTAATGGTAGTAACTATCTCAGGACCTGATTCTATGAGCTATGATTTGGTGCTTGCAGCATCTTCAGCACTGTGTGTGAAAATGAAGGCAGTATTTTTGAATATTTTTCTTGAACGCACAGATAAGCAGGACTTTTGAAAAAGGATCAGCACATTTTAAAAAATGAATAATAAAACAAATTCTGGTAAGATGCTGCCGTAGATATTTTTTTCAATTTAACTGAAAAAATTATACCAGACCATCTATGAAACACACTAAGCATATACAGCAATTCAGTTAAAGTATCAAGGAACAGAAAATGCTGATTGCTATATAGATCATTAAAAAACTAAATTTGCCATACATTAGCATTTCATTGGTGCACATGCTTTCTATAAAGACATACTATTCTGAAAAGCTGAAGTCTTAGTTTTTTGACCATATAGATGGATAAGAAAACTAGGTTATCTAAAAATTGCACGAATATTTTGTATACTTTTAAATTACCAGCATCATTAATAATAGAAATACAAAGTACCCTTTGTATTTAGTTCTTACAGACAGGGTGGGAATATATCCTATTTCTTTAAAAAAAAACAAAAAACGAAATTTGTGAAGGCTGTTGAAATTTCTAACTATTTTTCTGCATAATGAAAAAGTTTGTTCGTTTAATTGTAACGACTGAACTGCTTGAATAAAAGTCATAAAAATGGCTATCCAGATCAAGTTGAATTACTGCAGCAATCCACTTATCTTTTCTAAAAGATGCATGTTTACCTAGAAATATAAACACTTGTTTAACAACTTAAGACTTCCCACTGTAATGGTACCATGAGTAACAATGCATTTGGGGAAAGCAGCAGATTGCTTTTGATACACAACCACAAAAATAAAGAAAAAGAAAAAAAAAAGAAAAAAATCTCACAGGGACAACATTAATGTACTGAAATATTTATTTATATACTTCCTTAGGTTGTGCTTACCTGTTGCTTTTTGCAGCAGAACCTAAGGTGGAAGGTCTGGGAAGGCACTGTGAAGTATAAATAATTGCACTGTTTGCAATTAATAAAGATTTTATACCTTAAATGAATCAAAATCAACAGCCTCCATTTGTGAATGATAAAGAATCCAGTGAATTTAAATTTTGTTCAATTTAGTTCATAATAAATGCACCATTTCACTACAAGGTCATTATGTAATATCATGCAAAAGACTTGAACTATTAAACTTCATATCCTACACTAAAGATAGCAAGCATCTTCCTGTTTCAAACTACTATTTTAATTCCTAATTTAAAAAGGGGTAAAGACAATTCCTTCTAGATTCTACAACACAATAAATACATTGCTGATTACCTGCATGATAAAACTACTCAATTTTCAAGCCTTAAAATTTTAACTTCTCTGCGCAGCCACCTTAAGGTATTATTCTCAAAGCAACAAAATGGTGCTCCAAAAGATAAAGCAAATACATGTTTATAAAATGATTTAACATACCTACATCACTACACTTCTGCAAACTAACTGAGGACAAAACAACTTCTGTCTGACAAGCAGTTCCAAAAACTTTCATGTTAAAGATATGCATATTTTCATATGCTGAATAATACAGCCTTCAACTCATGAACACTAGTGAAAAATACTACATTACTTAGATAAATACAAAGTTTTCTTTAGCTATTGCTAGGTTTTTCAAGAATACTTACCCATAAAGCTCACATACATACATAAATATATATGCGCACACCTATGTTTCTGAATTAAGAAGCAGTTATGATTTCCTAAGATAGCAGCACTGTATTCCAACATAATATTTACACAGGTATGGCATTTGCATTATGTGGAACATTGACAAAAAGATACTGTTGCAGTTCATCAATTTGTCATTCTGATGTACTTACAGTGCAATGCTCCTTGAAGGAACAATCAAGGATGATACACAGCACAGTCCTTCTCACCCCTATAGAGCTAGTTCTATACTGGCTGGATCAAACCTGCACTTCAACAGACAATGGCAAGACAGACTGTATTGCATGAAGTCTAATATATGCAAAGAGCCAATAAATATGCAAAGAGCAAACAATGGATTTTAAAAGAATATCAGGTTTTTAGTATGAGTATCAGAGCAACAGAAACGTTTCAAGTATATTTAAAAAAAACATTTGATTCAACAACTGGTGTTGAGCATTTAACAAAACAGAAATTATCTGTACTGCAGGAAGTTCTCAGCCAACCGCTCACCACCACTCAAACAAAAATACAGTGTTTCAATGACAGATGCAATTTTGGTAACTAAAAAGCATACTGCATTCACCTTTCTACACTACATTTTGAAATGAACTACTGCAAACTGAATGCTTAACATTTTTACTTATAAAACTGTTTATACCTACTCTGAAAAATGCTTTAAAAAGTTATGCTGAAACGATCTTGAAATCAAGTATCAAATTAAGAACAGAGAGGTTAACTGTTATAGCCGCTGTACAGGTCTGAAACAGTGGTCAAGTATAAAAAAGGAAATTTCACTGTTAATGCAATGGAAGTATGCCAAAAGATCTTCTTAAACACATGCATTTTTTTAATCAAATAGAAAGAAAATGAAGATATCAAGATTACTGGTGCTAGACAGCAAGATACAATAAAATGAAAAATCCTTCATCTACAACTATTCTGCAAGAGGGGAAAAACATGCCATTGACAAGTTTTTAAACTCAATTAAGATTGCATGGGGAAAAAAAAAATCTCATTTGTGTACATGTACCTTAATTCAGCATTGCTAATAAATCCTAGAATTCTTCAAATACCCACATATCCAACTTACCGACACAGGAGGTTTCATATTATTTATTGTAAAGCACAAAACAGGCATTTTAAAAGTGATAAAGTATACATTGAAAAAGTACATTTATATCACAAAGCATCCACATAATTGCAAATACATTTGCTGGAATGTGTACATCTACACTAATACTAAAAACAAACCAATTTTCATTTCTACACAGAAATATTACCTCCTATCAGTAGTGATAGATATTTTGTACATTTTCAAAAACACTATTTTTAAACCAAACAAAAATTAAGATCTTCATCAAGGCGTCTGCATCCATACATTTAACAAAGGTTTTTTCCCCCACACAATGAAGCAAATACTGTATTGTCCACTTCTTATTATTGGCCCTGTGCAGAAGAGATACATAAGAGATATACAAAAAGTTAAAGAAAATCCTTTAAATTGAGCTAACTCAGGAGTGAAGCCTTTAAGAAAGAAAAGTTGGTTAATGTAAATGGTGGTGGCTTCTTGCATGGTTTTCAAAACCCTGGGAGGAGAAAGTTTTCTTTTTAATCAAAAACATTGAACGTATGGAGATACACAGAACTCAAGTTATCAGACACTGTCAAGTCATTTATACTAAAATTATGCTGATAGTTATTTTGCTAGAAAAAAGGATGCATACTCCAAAGGCAACGAAGCAGGAGACATGCAAAATAAATGTAAAAAAAATGAACAAAAACAACCACAAACCACCTCTAATTACTGAAATAGAAGCCAGCCAAAAATAAATTAAAAAACCTTTATACCTGTGGTGCTGGTGGATGCTGTGGCATTCCCTGTGGACTTGTCTGGGCATAATATGCTGCCTGTTGTCTGTAATATTCAGCCCATGCTGCACTGTAATCAGGCTGACCACCTGGTGGGGCCCCGGCTGGTGCTGGAACTGCCTGACCTAAAAGAAATTAAGATTACACATTTTTGTAACTGCAACAAAGACAACAGAAGCTCAAAATAATCTCATTTCTAACAAACATTACCTTGCTTCTTGTAATATTCCTCCCAAGCCTTTGAATAATCTTGTGGCTGCCCTTGTTGACCTGAAAAACCCCCCCACATTAATGTAACAATTCCCATGTAAACCAAAATTAAAGACATATACAAAGGTAGAGCTCTTCTGCCATCTCAGCTGATGTCAGGTCCAAATAAAATCTAAAAATGGCACCCATGTAAATCACTTACACAATGCTATTCCTGCTCATACTAGAGATACAGCTTTAACTCTGCAGCACTACCATTTTTGTTAATATACTCCACATAAAATGAGAATCCCCAGACTTCCCCAATCTCATGATGCACATTAAGTTGCTGTGTATTAAGGATAGATTACACTGCTTTATTAATTTAAAGGAGTTCAGAACTACTTACTATTTGAAAAAGAAGAGATCAGGCATGCCCCTGACACCTGCTCCGCACCCCATCAATACAGAAGTAGACAACTTCTACTCATCACCATCTTCTTTTCCACAAAAGTAAACTGCAGAAGTCTGCACTTTGCTAGAACTTTACAGGCAACAGAGCTGCAGCACTACAAAAGCTCTTTGCCAGCTGGTATCATGGGATGACAGTTGGCTGGGATGGTTTAGTCAAGGATAATTCTGCCTAGAGCAGGGGGCTGGACTAGATTACCTTAGGAGGGCCCTTCTAGACTACTTTCCCATGATCCTACTATCAAAAGGAAACATGCCTACCAGCCAAAAGAAATATTTGCACATGCAGGCAGTAATTAGGATGTACAAAATAAGTGGAATAACTGATGGCACCACAAATTTGCTGACTTGTCTAAATCAAACTCCATCTGGAATACTGAGATACCTGTCAATATGCTCAAGTAAGCCCAAATCACAAAACTAGGTAAGAGGTAAGAAGAAAATAGAAAACTTGGGAGAAAGGCAGAAACCTCAGTTCATCCTACTTAAAGCAAGCTGAATCCTGATCTCTTTGAGTATACAATACTCATAAATCCATGGCCCATTTAAACTGATCCTCCATATGTTAAAGGAAAAGCTTGGGGGACGGGGAGGAATGAAATCAGATTTCAAGTCTTGAAAACTTAGCACACAATCCCTAAAACAAAATGTCCAAGTAAAAGTACCTCCCTCCCTCCCCCAAGTAGTGAAAGAAATTGCTAAACACAACACGGGTTTTCTAGAATGCTGAAGCTAGGACCATGGTCCATTAAAGTTGTAGGAGTCATAGCAATTACACCACACTGAAACATCCATCCTCCCTCCTTTTGTTTCTTTTCACAATACTCTTGAAAATATAACAACTATGGCTATGTCTACATAGGAGGAGCTGTTGCCACTTCATAGCAACGCTTTGGTGGCTGGACTCCATGATGCAAACACCACTCCTGAATAGTGGGAACTGCCAGTAGAAGCCACCTTCACAGCTACAGGAGATGTGACCACACTGGGGATGTGGGTTTGGGTGAAGGCAAGTCAGAGAGTGACACTGGCTGCAGAATGAGATCTTTCCATACCCCTCACTAACATACTACTGCATCTCTATTACAAAGTTTTAAGTAGTGTTGGCAGACGAAAGGCATCAAGTGCTTCAAAAGAAGGGAAAAGTTACAGCACAAAAACTTTAAGTACTCTTCAACTCTCCCCTGCCCTCTGCATCAAACTCCCTCCTAACTCTCTGATGCCTTATCTTGGGCTTTATGAACAACTTGTTTCCTTAACAGCTCCTAACACAAGGGCAAGGTCAAACAACAAAACAAAACAAAAACAGCAGCAATGAAAGTAAAATATCTACCTTCCCCTAGCCAAAATTCAAATCGTGGAAGAGTCAGTCAGTTGATCTTCATTTTATATATGCTAGCCAATTACTATTTTGCCTAATGCCTAGGGATTGATTTCCACTTACTTTAAAATCATATTTAAATTTGTTTTCTACCAAATTGTGTAGATATCAATTTTAAAGCAACTCTCTCGTTTCCAACTGAGAAAAATCTAAGTCAGGTTTCTGTTTGGGTCATACGGCTTGAAACTATGCAAGGTATCCTCACGTGCAACTGGACAGGGATTTAGTCTATTTTCCATAAAAAGTGCTCAAGTGATATCCAGTATTGATAAATATATTTCTATGCTTTTGGCAATTTCAGTACAAAAATTAGATAATATATTCTCACTTTTAATCATTACTACAGAGTTTCTATTAGATATGCATCCTTATTTAAAAGGCTGACTGATGCACTACAAAACTGGTTGTGAAAACTTTAAAAAAAATCCAGTATTTAATCTCCAGCTTTCATAAAGTGCAAAAAAAATTCCCATCAAAACAAGCACAGAAAGTTTGTTTTTTTAAATCCACTAAATTTCTTTCCAAGATAGACCCATTCCCCAACACCACGATAATTTAAATTTCACCATTTCCTACACACACAAGATGCAGCTCTGGCTTGACTGTGGAACTCGTGAGTCTTAGCCAAAAAACCATTCACTCAAGATGCATTCTTCCAAAACTGCACTGAAACATGAAATTCTTATTAGCAAGCTGAAAATGTTTACTACTAATATTAGACCACGTTATCTAGAATGATCTTGCTAACTACAGATGTAGGATGTTCAGGAGAGGAAAGCCCCAGAAAACTCATTTTTGTTCTTAGTAACAACCATTTCACTACTTTGGAATACATGCAGGAGGGACATGGGGCAACTCTGAGACAAATTAAAGCCTAGCACCATCCCTAAAATGTCACTTGGATCCCCTTGTCTACTGCTCTGCTTGCTGTTCCCTGCCCTCTTGAGAATCTGCTGTGTACCCCATACAGAGAAGCTACCTGTGCCATGTGTGGCACACATGCTACAGGTTGGACAGCCCTGAACTGGGATGTAGTGAGCATTAAGGAGCAGCAACACTATCCTTCCTTTAATAGCACTATAGTATTAGAGGCAAATAAAAATGATTTTGTAGAAGAAGTTAAGGCAGCAATATCCTAAGCATGATAAACCTATATTGTCAGCAAATTATTCTGCCCAAATGTCATTATAGAGCATGCTGCACAGGTTTTGATCTTCCAGGGAACTGGCTTATCCTTAGACTTATATGATGCAGAATTTGGCTGCAAATCAAATTAGTAGGATCCAACTTGTATAGTGAAAGGAAAACAAAAAAGTGATCATGTCCTGAACTCGTAGTTTCACTAAAATAAATTTTAAGTGTTCTTCACATCAGTACACAAAGCTTTCAACTGGAAAGACTTTTGAGGCAAGCTAAAGAAGAATGAATTAATCTAATGTATTAAATAAACTTTATTTTTCTTACAAATTAGTCTACAAAAAGGCATGTGGTGTTATTTTTTTGCCTTTTTGATATAAGAAATTTTTCTTTAAGATAACAGAAGCTAGCATTCATAATTTTATGGATAGAATAAAAGGAATTCAGCACTATGGGTAGACCCAAGGGATGAGAGAAGTCTGACTGATGGTTAAGCATTAGACACCAAAATATAATTATATATACTATGTACTGGTGCATAACTGAAGAAAGCTTGGTCAGGCTCCACTACTGCAAGAGTTACTAGGATGTAAAATGCTTCCTATTTCTCTCATTTCATCTACTTTTTTAGGATTTTCAGCCTTTGTTTTGCCTTCTTTTTAAAATTGCAGTTCTTCTGCATTTAAGGATTGGTTCCCTTGTTTCCGATTTGTTCTTTTCTCAGACTTGGCCCAAAGAAAGGTTAAGGCTTTGGTTCCTGAATCTTCATCAGCTAGTACATAATTGAAAGAAATCCTAGGAGAATTCTTAAAGGAGCCCAGATCTTCCTTTCTAGGGAAGTCAAAGTATAGAAATATTCCAGAGCCTGATGAGAAATGTAGTCGTCTGCTTTCAGATGTGAAAGTGTCTTGGCTTTTTGCCTTTGGAGGTGAACTGGACCAACAAGCAGATGTCAAAAGGTAAAATACACTGAACACAACCCTTTCAACTCCCCACCCCAAACAAATGCAGGTGTTGGGAGGGAAGAATTGATGAGGAGGGTAGTAATGAAACAGGCAGTGAGGGACAGACAGTGCGGGAAGAAGTGGGAGGAAGGGGGGGCTATGGTATGGCTATGGACAGGAAGTGCAGAGGCAGGGGGGACAGGTAGCGAGGCAGGCAGCCTGTTACTGTTCCCCAAAATTAGAGAATAGGGCATTTTGTATAGTGAAATTTGAGACATGCAGACAGCTCTAGAAAGCAGGGTCAGTCGCCCTCTATGGTGGTACCACAATGTGTCCAAAAAGTTCAT